AAAAGAAAGAAAAAAGAAAATAACAAGTATTGGCAAACCTGTAGAGAAAGCAGAACACTTGCAAACTGCTGGTGGGAATAGAAAATGGTGCAGGACAAAAGAGTACAATTTAATGAGGGGATTATTTTAATAGATGTGTGTGTGAAAACGGTGTGAGCAGTTACCAGTTCTCTTAGAAAGAGCAGGGACTCTGAGCTTTCACGGAGGGGGCACGGGTTTGATCCCTGGTCGGGGAAATAGGATAGCCACGTGGCATGACTGAAAAGATAAATAAATACATTTTTAAAATGATAAATAAATAAATGGGTATGTGTGGTTTTATAAAACACTGGCAGAGAGGCTGTACCTTTTTGCATTCCCACCAGCAACGAATGAAACTTCCTATTGTTCCATGTCCTCACCATCATTTGGTGTTATCAGCGTTTTGGATTTTAGCCATTCTAATAGATGTGTAGTGGTATTTCATTGTTGTTTCAATTTGCAATTATCTAATGATATATCATGTGGAACATATTTTCATATACTTATTTTCCATCTGTATATCTTCTTTGGTAAGGTGTGAAGTGTCTGTTCAGATTTTTTGCCCATATTTTATTGGGCTGTTGGTTTTCTTATGGTTGGGTTTTGTTTGTTTGTTTGTTTGTTTTTGCGGTACGCGGGCCTCTCACTGCCGTGGTCTCTTCCGTGGCGGAGTACAGGCTCCGGACGCGCAGGCTCAGCGGCCATGGCTCACGGGTCCAGCCGCTCCACCGCATGTGGGATCTTCCCGGACCAGGGCACGGAACCCATGTCCCCTGCATCAGCAGGCGGACTCTCAACCACTGCGCCACCAGGGAAGCCCTCTTATGGTTGAGTTTTAAGAGTTCTTTGTGTATTTTGAGCACCAGTATTTTATCAGATATGTGATTTGCAAATATTTTCTCCCAGTTTGTGTCTTGGCTTTTATTCTTTTTAACAATGTCTTTCACAAAGCGGAAGTTTTTCACAAGTTCAAGTGCTTAGCAAACTCCAAACCAGGATAAATACTGTATGAGATGGCTTATATGTGGAATCGAAAATATACAACAGACTATGAATATAACGTAAAAAGAAGCAGACTCGGGCTTCCCTGGTGGCGCAGTGGTTGAGAGTCCGCCTGCCGATGCAGGGGACACGGGTTCGTGCCCCGGTCCGGGAAGATCCCACATGCCGCGGAGCGGCTGCGCCCGTGAGCCATGGCCGCTGAGCCTGCGCGTCCGGAGCCGTTGTCCGCAATGGGAGAGGCCACAACAGTGAGAGGCCCGCGTACTGGAAAAAAAAAAAAAAAAAAAAAAAGAAGCAGACTCATAGATATAGACAACATGCTAGTGGTTACCAGTGTGTGTGTGGGGGCAACTTAGGGCTGGGGGATTGGGAAGTTCAAACTATTGGGTGTAAGATAGGCTAAAGGATGTATTGTACAATGTGAGGAATATAGTAATAGTTGTAAATAGAAAGTAACCTTTAAAATTTTTATAAAGTAAAAATAATTTAAGAATATAAAAACTTTTTTTAAATTAATTAATTTATTTATTTTGGCTGCATTGGGTCTTCGTTGCTGTGCGTGGGGCTTTCTCTAGTTGCGGTGAGCAGGGGCTACTCTTCATTACGTTGCGCGGGCTTCTCATTGCAGTGGCTTCTCTTGTTGCGTGCAGAGACAGGCTCTAGGCGTGCGGGCTTCAGTAGTTGTGGCATGCGCTCTCAGTAGTTGTGGCGCACGGGCTTAGTTGCTCCGAGGCATGTGAGATCTTCCCGGACCAGGGCTCAAACCCGTGTTCCCTGCATTGGCAGGCGGATTCTTAACCACTGCGCCACCAGGGAAGCCCAATAAAAACTTTTAAGTCTGTATAATGCTACTCTTTGTATAAGAAAGACTAAAAAATATTTATAACATGTGTGTTTATTTTTGTAAAAAGAAACTGTGTAAGAATAAAACAGAAACCAATAAAAATGGTTACTTGAAGGGAGAAGGAAGAAACTGATGGGGAGTATACGATAAACATACTTGTCTGAGTACATTTTTTTTTAATTAATTTATTTTTTGGCTGTGTTGGGTGTTCACTGCTGCGCCCACGGGCTTTCTCTAGTTGTGGCGAGCAAGGGGCTACTCTTCATTGCCATGTCCGGGCTTCTCATTGCAGTGGCCTCCCTTGCTGCAGAGCATGGGGTCTAGGTGTGCAAGCTTCAGTAGTTGTGGCTCGTGGGCTCAGTAGTTGTGGCGCACGGGCTTAGTTGCTCCATGGCATGTGGCATCTTCCCCGACCAGGGATCGAACCCATGTCCCCTGAACTGTCAGGAGAATTCTTAACCACTGTGCCACCAGGAAGTCCCATGAGTACATTTTAAAAATCTTATTTCTACTTTTGAACTTTGAAAGTATTTTACATATTTTAAATGAACTTAATATAAAAAAATCAGTCTAAAATTGAAAACTAAAACATATGAACCTATTTATTTGCATATTTTGAGGTAACCATTAAGAGAAAATAATTATTTTAGGTGACTTTTGAATACAGTACTCTGTATATCCTTCATGGTAAATATTCTAAAGACTAAAAGAACAGCTAGTAAATATTAAATTTCACTCAGTAATTTTATTGTTAGTAGTATTAAATATTGCAATTTTGAAATTATTTTACACATATTTTAGGATAAAATGAATAGATAAATACATCAGTTATTAAGATTTTCAATTAGCCTGATAAAAGATATAAAATACAAAATTAAAGAAGTTGAGAGAAAACTACAATGTAAAATTTGAATTGGAAATATCACAATGAATTCATGATTTTTCTAAACACTAAAAGTGTCTTAAAGCAGTGATACCTCTATAGCAATGAGCTCTCCGAGAACCTAAACAGTGGTTTGTATATACCATTATTCGTGAAAAGAACCAGTGCTCCTTGGAGAAATGGCCGATTCCATGTCTGAAGCGCGGGAAAGTAAAAACTGAGCCTGGGACCTCATCATGCCAGAAGCAAGAAAGTGGTCAAGACAACTTTGGGGCATGTCAAAAGGACACAGGAGTCAGCTTAAAAGGGCTCCTACTGGACACATTTGATACAGTTTGAGCACAAAAGGAATAACGACTGTAACTGATTATAAAATACTAAATGGATTAAAAACCCTGGATCTATAGTTAAAAAAAAAAAAGACTATAACTTTCTACCCTTGTAGATTAATATACCACCACCTTACTCTGAAAATTGGCAATTAAATGGAAATAATTAAGCATTTGTCGTGGCTTTTTAGAAGGAGCCCTACTTTTCCAGTTGATGAGGGAAAGCTCCTCTCTAGATTAATATCTCCTTATAAATGGGGGCGTGGGAGAAGTCGAAAAGCACCATTTTGTAATTCCTGATGAAATAACTCATTCAGGCAAGGATCACTATGGATGCCAATTATTGGGTGAAAGCTTTTTTAGAATATTCAGTGTCAGGAATTCCCTGGTGGTCCAGTGGTTAGGACTCCATGCTCTCACTGCCAGGGGCCTGGGTTTGATCCCTGGTTGGGGAACTAAGATCCCGCAAGGTATGTAGTGCAGCCAAAAAAAAAAAAATCACAGTGTCAAAGAACCATGCAGATGACTTGCTAATTGCAAAGGGGAACAGTTTACCTTCATAGGACATTTCGGACAGTATCCACCTTAACCAAGTGATTACACTTAGCATCATTAACTATGGTATGACCTCTTATTACATGCATTCCAATGTGAGGCAATGTGAAGAACGCAGCACTTTTGAAGAATTAGTCCCAAAATTGGGTAACTAGAATCTAATTTTTTTAATTAAAAAAATATGAGCTAGAGGAACAAGTTAAATGGCCGCATAGAAACAATAAGACAAATCCAGAATGTAGGACATTCTATAGAAGAGACTGGCCTAGTCTCTTCAAACAGTCAGTTCTATGAAGAAAAAGACTGGATTCTTCTGGATTAAAAAGAAAAGGGGGGCTTCCCTGGTGGCGCAGTGGTTGAGAGTCCGCCTGCCGATGCAGGGGACACGTGTTCGTGCCCCGGTCCGGGAAGATCCCACATGCCGTGGAGCGGCTAGGCCCGTGAGCCACGGCCGCTGAGCCTGCGCGTCCGGAGCCTGTGCTCCGCAACGGGAGAGGCCACAACAGTGAGAGGCCTGAGTACCGCAAAAATAATAATAATAAAATTAATTAATTAATTAATTAATTTAATTAAAAATTAAAAAAAGAAAAGGGGAGGGACTTCCCTGGTGGTCCAGCAGCTAAGACTCTGCACTCCCAATGCTGGGGACCTGGGTTCGATCCCTGGTCAGGGAACTAGATCCCACATGCCACAACTAAGATCCTGCATGCCGCAACGAAGATCCTACACGTGGCAACTAAGACCCAGCACAGCCAAATAAATAAATAAATAAATATTAGAAAAAAAAAAAAGAAAAGGGAAAAGAGGAGGACATAATCACAACAAAAGGCAATGTGTGGAACTTGATTCCTGGTTTGTTTCTTTAATGCTATAAAAGACATTTAAATTGGGAAAGCTTGAATATGATATTAGATTATATTAGGAATTATTAACTCATTAGACATGATAATTCTATTGTGGTTGTGTAAGATATATACTGATGACTTAGGGATGAATGAGCATGATGTCTGCAACTTGCTTCCAACTGGTTCAGGAAAAAGAAAGGATAAGTAGACAGACAAATAGATGGATAACAAGATAGAGACTACTAAAGCAAATGTGGCAAAATGATAGGATTTGTTGAAACGTTGTATGAATGTTTGGGTGTTTACTGTCCTTTTTTTCAGTTTGTGTGTTAGACAATTTTCAAAACAAAACGTTGGAAAGAATTTCCATATTCTTCTTCTTTTTTTTAACATAGTAACAGAAGACATTCCAGGCAGCAGCTCATTAAATTATTTCTTCTTTGTTCTCCCGTGAAACCAAAAGATTCTCATTTATGATATTTCTGAAGGCACATTAAGAAACATGTTCAAACTTTGTTATCTCTTTATTCAAGTTTGGCTTTAATATTTTATTAAAAATTCTTGAATTTGTAAATATTAAAACACTGCAGTTTACTACGGACACAAGAGTGACAATGAACTAGCAATAAAATCAAAGTAGAAGCTAAACTACTTAGAAGCAATAGCAACTCCATAATTCAAAGATAATTTAGACAGGTAATTTTAAAGAATTTATTTAATAAGGCTCAAAGCAGCCGCTCAGCCTGCAGTGATGATGCTCCACCGGCAGATGGCGCTGCAAAGCGTCTCAGGTGCAGCGGGAAGCCCATTTACCAATGGCTGTCGCAATCTCTTAATTACTTGAACTGATGAGTTCATATTATAATTTTTATTAATTATTTTTACTGCTTATTGCAGTTACTCTTATACTACTTACTAACTGGTACAGAAGTGTTTTAACAACTGGTTGAGCAGTACCAGTGCAAACCGGCTGAATGTCAGCGCTGTTTCCTCCTATTACGACAGAAGCCACCAGGCTCCTGCGGGAGGGTAATCCCTGCACCGGGACTGTCAGTGCCACCCCCGCCTGCTCTCCAGGGCTTGTTCCATCACTAATCCCCACTTTCCTGCATTTTCAACCTTTCCTCCTCCACTTGACCCTTCTAAACAGCCTGTGAAAATGTTCAAAACTTTAAAAAACTGTTTTCCTCGATTTTATATACTTTGCTCTCTCCGTTTTTCTCTCATTGCAAACACAACCAAACTTCTTGAAAATTATATCCTTTTCTCCACTGCTTCCACTTCATTCCTCCAAATTATTCCTCAATCCCCTGACATCTGGGAATTCTGACCTCATCTGTCCAATGGAACTGCTCCCACCAAGATCAGCAAGGCTTTTTACTAAATCCAGTGGACACTCTTCATTCTTGTCATCAATCCTCAGCAGCATTCTGCACTGCGCCCTTCCTTCCTCCTTCCCTAAGCTTTCAATGCACCACACTTCCTAGGTTTTATCCTGTCTGCTGGTTCCTCTTTCCCTGCCTTCCCTTTTATATTCTCCATGTCCTTCCTCAGCCCTCTTCTCTTCTCACACTACACACTTTCTGTGGATGATCTCAGTTACCCTCCTCCCACCTATATGTTACTGACACCCAAATCTCTGTGTGCAGCCACACCTCTCTTCCCCCAAAACCCTTAATTCCGGTTTCCATTCTTTCTCTGGGATCTCTGCAAAAGCCTCTGATCTCTCTCCCCTTTCCAAACCAGTCTCCACACTCCAATCAAAGTGACCTAAGGCACAAATCTCTCCTTCTTGGTCTCAGTGCTCCTCTGGATAAAGCCTTAATCTTTAGCATGGTTGACAAGGCCCAGTGAGAGCTGACCCAAGCCTCTCCAGCTTCACCTTTCGCCACTTCTCCCTTGAACCCTCTGCCCCAGCCATGCTGAACGAGTTAGTCTTCCAAAATTGTTACGTGCTGTTCCTTGCCCTTTGCTGTCCCCTCAGGAATGCTCTTTCCCTCTCAATGCCTGGCTTACTCCTGCTCAGTTTTCAGGCCTCAGCTTGGACCTCTGTTCCTCTAGGAGGCTTCCTCTGACTCACCAAGACTGGCCCCTGCTGGGTGTTCCCATAGCAATTCTTTACCACAGACCACTGATCTTCTCTGTCTTATATAACTTGCTATACAATCACAGCTCCCAGCCCTGTCCTCCACTCCTTTCTGACCAGCATCACAAGACCCTTCTATATGAAGCCACCACTATCCCACAGGACCCTGTTCCACCCTTCTCACAGCACTTATCACACTTTTTTGGTAATTATCTATTTAATTGCTTCCATAGTCCAATAAATTGTGAGCTCCACAAAGGACCATTTCTATGTCACTTACCACTTAGCAGTGACTGGCAAATAGTAATTACTTGACAAATGGACAAACGTTCGATTGGTGAATGAATCCTTGGGGTGATTATAGTTCTACCCACCTTACTTAGTTACAACTCAATAGACTCATTTACAGCAATTCTTTTATAATTTACATATGCTATGGAATTACTGTATTAGTGTCTGGCTGTTCTATTCTTGGAGGGTAGGGTCTATGCCTTACTCAATTTTTTTGTCCCAGAATTCAGCATGCCTGACGCACATTGTTTTCAACCAATTTCGCTGACTATATCAATGATAATGAGAAATAAAGAAACAGAGGCCCAGATAATTGAACTACTCTGGACCACACACAGCTACCTTGTCCCAGAACCAGGACTGGAACTCAGTCTAGAAAAATGGAAGCTCGGAAGAAGTTGTTCAGCATCTAAATGGAATTCCAGCATGAATGAGAAGCACTAGTTTCTCACCATCAAGAGACTGGCCAGGAACTGTGGGAACTCCCACAGCCCAAGACCTCCATGGTCAAGTGTCTCCATAGTGGATGTGACCCAGGAGGGGCGTGAGGACAGGGGTCCTGGGTATTTCATCATGGAGGGGAGACTGGACCCCTGGTTTCCTTTGTCCCTTTTAGTCAGTTTCAAGCTCAGCCTCAGGCAGTGGTCTTCAGTTATTATATACCCTTCTCCTCCCAAATCTATTTGTTGCTAAGATAGTGCTTCTCCCAGTGTTACTTTCCTACAGAGTGAGTATTGACAGGGGCCTGGGAAGAATCATTTACAGTCTGGCCCCTTGGGGATGTTAGAGTTGCTTCCTTTCAGGTCTTCAGCATGAAAATCCCCCTTCTCAGCTTCCCCTCCAGCACCAGGTCTCAACTTTCACCCCCACCCCCAGATCTCCCAAATGCCTCTGGTGAAACTCATGAGAGCAAAAGATAAATGACAGTGAAGAGAAGCAGCACAGAGGCAGGGGTACAAACAGAATTCTGATTTTTCTTTTCTCCACTTTTTGAGATGATTCCAACATCCCCAACCCATCTCTAGCAGCAGAGAAGTCCCCTGAGCTTCCCTGATCATCATGAACCTTCAAAGGATGCTGAGTTGGGGTCCTCTTTCTTCCATCAAAAGACCCATCCCTGAGGGTAAAAAGCCCAAGATGGGAGACAGGTGGGTTTTTCTCTCCACTGAAACTTTTTCTCTTTTACGGCACATTTTGGGCAACCCTCACGCATATTCACATGCTGGTAGTACTTAAACTTTGCATTGGAGTGCAAATTCCAGGATGTATGCCCTCACTGGGACCAGTGGAGGAGGGAACTGGAGGAAATGTGTGGCCCAAACACCTCAGCCTCTTTTGCTCCTGGGGTGACAGGGTCTCTGCTGGAATTACAGAAACTGGCCCAAGACCCAGAACCTGAATAGAATGCTTTAGAGTGAAGAGAAGAATCTGGTACGTCCTCTTCTCCTCACCCCTACACCTAATGGCTAACCTATCAAACAACACTTTTTGCTACCACCCAACCCAGACAACATTGTGGCAGTCAATAAACCAAAGCCCATTCTTCCTTTTCTCCAAGAATTAAATCTGGGAGTCCAGCTGCTTGCTTGACAAGGGAGAAGTACAGCAAGGCCTAAAGTGCCCTGACTCACAAGAGACCTGACCCCTGCGGAGATGTGCCTGACACTGTAAGCCAGCTAAGAACCTGCACCGGGTCTCCTTGGCTCCATCTCAAACCCGGGTAAGTGGGATTCAGGAAGCTGGCTCTGTGCCCTCCCCTATGAATCTAGTACCCCCTAGTGTTACAGGCTTTTAACTAGTTAAACTTGACACTACACTCAAAGGGCTCTTCTGCTCAAATCATAAACGTGCATGCTACTTTTTTGCCACTAATCAAGACTACTCATACACGTTTAAGTAACATTTTCACAAGCATCGAGTCTTAACTAAATACCTCCATCAACAGGAAGTTCTAGAGTTATACTATATGAGCCCTAAGGATTTGGAGGACATTATACCCCCATCTTAATCCAAAAAGCTAGGTGCCTGATTAATGGGGTCTTGACCACGACCAGGCAGTATATTTAGGTCAGGCGTGTTTGTGCAGCTTTATATGTTCAGTGCTTAGCATAAGTCCAGACACACAGTCAGACCTCAATAAATATTTGTTGAATTGGAATAAATCCTATAAATATCTCACCTGGAGACATCAGCTGTGACATCTTCTCTTACTGCTTCTTCTCCCAGAAGCTCCTCGAATAACCAGGTCTGACAGCTGAGGGGGGGGGCACAGGGGGCTGCTCCAATCCCAGAGGGACTGACACAAATTCCCAAAGGGGGCTGAATTTAGACCAGGCCTCAAAAGCCTGAAGTGACCTCCCCTCCCCATGTTGATGATGGGGTTCCTAAGGTGCAAGTGGGAGTGTGAGCAGAGGAAGCGGGTTTCAGGCCTTAGAACCCACTGAATTAACTCCTAAGAGGACTCTTCCTTTGCAGAGAGAATGCACGAAAAAAGAAGGGAGAAAAGCAGCGGAGCCTCCCACAGCTGTCAGCCTGAGACAGCTGCTCTCACCGCAGTCCATCTGGGGAAGGGGCTACAAAGCAGACAATCTTTATTCACAATTGGGGTGGCAGACGGGAGAGACCCCCAGGTCAGTCCAAAAGCAAAGATACGGGTGGGGCGGGGGGGGAGATGGCGCAGGGCAGGGACTCAGCACTCGTCCTCGCCCAGCAGGGCGTAGGGGTTTCGGGCGGCCAGGCTGGACCCTGGGGCTGAGGTTGGGGTGTCCTCATCCCCTTCCCCCTCCTCATCCGCGTCCCGGTCCTCCTCTCCCTCCTCCTCACAGGAGCTGCTCAGCTCTTCCTCCTCCTCCTCCTCGTCACCTGCGGGCCCCACCCTGCCCTGCAAAACCACCAGCTCCATGGTCTCTGGGTGGGACTCCCAGGTGCCTGGGGAACCAAAACAAGAAAAAGAATGGAGAGTTTTGAGCAAGAAACTAATGCCAGGCCAAGATGGGGAAGAGGCAAAGACTAAGAATAACAATGACTTTTATAGCTGCTGCCATTCATTTGTTCACGCATTCATTCAACCTCTCGTGTACTGGGCACAGAACAGAAGCTCTGTTGCACATTAACTCCAAACGTGACCACCACCTTGCCAGAAGGCAACTAACCACCCTGGTTCTATAGAGCAGGAAGTCATCTCAGAGCTGCTTAGTAACACAGAGCTGGCCTATGGGTACAGAATCCGAATCCTCACACCTACAAAGCCCACACCTTTTTGCCTCCATCACAGCAGGAGCTAGGGAAGAACACTGGCCGACTGACCTTTCTGCTCGCTGTAGCCTGGGGGCTGAAAACACAGGCTGAGGCGGCCATCCAGTGCCAGCCGCAGGAGGCTATTGGCCGCTCTGTACACATCATTTCGGGCCGCCTTGGCTGTCTTGTAACCACGTTTCTCTGCCCAGGCTGGAAGGAGAAAAGAATGGGGAGGGAAGACCATCAACCAGGCCCAGTCACCATCATCCCACTCCCCTAACACAGTCCTTCCAGTTTCCCCCAGAATATTCCAGGCCCGAGATCTTGCTGGCCCTGAGACAGAAGCCTAGGGGTGACTGGCCAGCTGCCCCATCGATGGCAGGACCTCTGAGGAAGGAGAGGAAAGGAGATAGGGCAAGGGGAGGAAAGCCAGGCGTGTGGAGCCCACCTTCACAGATGTCCCAGGCACACCACGGGTGTTCCGCGGAGGGGTCCTCGGCCTCTGGGTGGCGCAGGTGGAGCAGGGCCTGCACAGGGATCCGGGAGGCCAGGTAGCCCACGGCAGTGTATGGCTCCTGGATTTGGGCGATGGGGTAGACCCCTGCCAGGACCTGAGGGGAAACAAGAGCACTCAGCACCTTCCTCCATCTCCTGCATTCTCCCCACCTCTGGCCCCTCTGCCCTTATACCTGCAACTGCCTGGGCAGAAGCGAGGGGAATATGAGGCCTGGACAATCACAGAGCTTCACGGAGGGGGTGAGAAAGTAGGTCTGAAAGTATCGGGTGTGGCCCGGGGTTCTAGAGACACTCACGACCTTCCGCCCCACCAGCCCGTTGATCAGCGAGGACTTGCCCACATTGGGGAAACCTGAGGAACACAAGGAAAATTAACACCTGACAGATCCTTACTCTGTGACAGGCAGGATGCTGTGCTATAGCTATAGATGAATGGAGAACTAAGGTGCAGAAAGAAAGAAAGGAAGCGGTATAACATCGCAAGTTACAAATCAGGCTCTGGGCTGCCAGGGCTGAATCCTGGCCTCCCCATTTACCTAAGCTTTGTGACCTCATGGCAATTTACTTAATTTTCTGAGTCTCTGTTTCCGCAGTTTACAGAGCAGATACCTCCAATCTCAGAGTGGTTAGGATGAAATGAGAAACAAATACAATCGCGTGGCACTGTGTCTGCAGTAGTCTAAGTGAGACATGCATCTCATGATTATCAAACTTCTCCAAGGAGAAGACAGAGACCAGGGGCTCACTGCCACTCTCTTCATGACCACCACCTTCCACCACACATCTCCTCTACAGCACTCTGGCCTCCCAGTGCCAGAATCTCCCTCCAAAAGGTTTCTTCCATCCCACCTCTGTGGTCTTACCCTGGACCTGTCACTTCACACCTTCCAAATCTCACCTGCAAGCACCCCTCTCTCTGCCCTGACATCTCGTCTTTCCAGCTCACTTATTCTGGTCCCTCCATTCCAATAAACCTCTGACACTGACTAGCTTGGGAACAGTATTCAATACCCAACTCATGTCCTCACTTCCCTTCTTATGCAACTTAGATTCCATGATCCAGCTCTACAGCCAGTCCGCCTCATAGACCTTTCACTCCCTGGTCCCACCTCTCCCCTTCTTCTTAGTCACCTGGCAAAACTCCAACCCTGTAAAATGCAACTCTGGCCATTCAGCAGCGGACTGAGGCTGGGCAAAGATGCACCATGGTGCTGACTGCACTCTGTTTACAACCCACTCAAGTACAGTTGGCCCTTGGTATCCACAGAGGATAGGTTCCAGGAGCCCCTATAGATACCAAACTCCCTGGAGGCGCAATTCCCTTATATAAAATGGCATAGGGCTTCCCAGGTGGCGCAGTGGTTAAGAATCCACCTGCCAATGCAGGGGACACGGGTTCGAGCCCTGGTCCAGGAAGATCCCACATGACGCGGAGCAATTAAGCCCATGTGCCACAACTACTGAGCCTGCTCTCTAGAGCCTGCGAGCCACAACTACTGAACCTGTGCACCGCAACTACTGAAGCCCGCGCACCTAGAACCCATGCCCCGCAACAAGAGAAGCCACCACAACGAGAAGCCCGCACACCACAACGAAGAGCAGCCCCCGCTCACTGTGACTAGAGAAAGCCCACGCGCAGCAACGAAGACCCAACGCAACCAAAAATAAATAAGTAAATAAAAATTTAAAATAAAAATAAATAAATAAATAAAATGGCATAGTACAGTCAGCCCTCCGTATCCATGGGTTCCTTGATTGTATCTCCTCTCAAAAGGGGGTGGGGGGATAAGACTCTCCTTTGACAACCCCCGCCAGCCTCGTTCCTCTCTCCTCTTTAAAAGAGTTTTACTGTAAAGCGCCACAACTAGAGAGAGAAAACCCGCACGCTACAACTAGAGAGAAGCCTGCGTATCACAACTAGAGAGAAGCCCATGCACCGCAATGAGAGATCCCGCATGCCGCACCTAAGACCCAATGCAGTGAAAAATAAAAAATTTTTTTTAGATAATAAATAAATAAAATATTTTTTAAAATAGGGAAGATTCTCCTTAGACTTAAAGAGTTAAGACCAAGAAAGAAACTGACACTTCTAAGCTACTACTATAATTTAATGATCATTCTATGATGGACTGATTATTACAACTAAAAAAGTTAATATGTAAATCGTATAACAGTGCCTGGTTCACAGCAAGCATCACGAAGATGTTAATTTTTAACATTATTATTATTACTATTATCACTATCTGTCAGGCTTTGTTAGGCTCTCTCTACACTATTCCCTCCATTCCTCTCATCCATTCTTTTTTTTATATATAAATTTATTTTTATTTTTGGCTGCATTGGGTCTTCATTGCTGTGTGCGGGCTTTCTCTAGTTGTGGCAAGCGGGGGCTACTCTTCGTTGCAGTGTGCGGGCTTCTGATTGCAGTGGCTTCTCTTGTTGTGGAGCATGGGCTCTAGGTGCCGCGGGCTTCAGTAGTTGTGGCACGTGGGCTCAGTAGTTGTGGCTTGTGGGCTCTAGAGCGCAGGCTCAGTAGTTGTGGCGCACTGGCTTAGTTGCTCCGCGGCATGTGGGATCTTCCCAGACCAGGGCTCGAACCTGTGTCCCCTGCATTGGCAGGTGGATTCTTAACCACTGCGCCACCAGGGAAACCCTCGTCCGTTCTTTAAATTGAGCATCATTGTTCTCATTTTTCAAATCAAAGTCACTAAGACTGACAGTGGGTAAATAACTTGCTTGAGATCAATACGCTGAGAAGCAGAATTTAACTCAGGTGTGCCGTGATCCTTCCGCGACAGCAGAAAGCCTCCTCTGCCCTCAGAGACCCTGGAGCCTAATGGGACCTCATCACCTTCCCTCTTTTCCAAACATTGAAACCCTGTGCCTCCTAGGAGGCCGCCATGCGTGGCCGCCACTTCCTTACCCACACAGCCGATGGTCACCACCCCGTCCTTGTAGCGCTCCCGTATGGGGCCTGTTGGCTCCATCGCTGAGTCAGTCTGCTGCTCCACCAGGACGGCCGGCCCGTCCTCCTCTTCCTCCTCCTCCCCAGAGCCATTACCCCAGGTGGCTCCAGCCACATCCCGGGCAATCTTCTCCCGCCAGCTGCTCAGGTCCACTGTGCAGGGAAGGAAAGAAGAAGAAGGTTCTCCCCAGGGCCACTGTATACGATGGCGCAGACCATGCACTGCACAGCTGATGTAAGTGGCGCCCTCTGGATTGGGTAGGGCCAAGCTGCGCAACAGCGACTCTCCCCAGCCTTCACTTGACTCCACCCTGGAATCGGGTGCATTTCTGAGTTTCTGAAAAGCACTGGCAACACTGAAGACAGCAAACCAGTGGGGCTCCTGCCTCCCTGCTGCCTCTCTTGTCCCACCAAGTCAGGCTGCTCCCTCTCCCACCCCACCCCATGGCCTCTCACCTGAGTCCATAATAGAGGGACTGACTTTGGGAAAGGTGAGCAAAATGACTTGGGACTTTGGGTCTCCCCCACGGCCTCCCACAGCTCCCCTCTAAGGGGCACATACCTTTCCCCGCAGTGATAGCTTCACAGGCTCTCAGCAGCTGCTCCGGCCCCAGAGCCCGAGTCCATCCTCTCCCCCGCCTCCGACTCTTCTTCAAGACTGAGATCAGAGGGCACAAAAGCGTGAGCACACCCCATGGGGCTTATGTACCCCCTCTCTCCCACCACCCTCAGGCCCTAGATCAGGTCCCCCTTTGTCCCTTGCCACCCCACCTCTCCCACGCTGCCCTCCTCATTGCCCACTCACCACTGCTAGGGTCCTGTGGGGTGCAGGGATCCCGAGGAAAAGAGGTGAAAAGAACAATGTGGAGCTGGGGATAGTGTTGATGGAAATAATGCTTCCAGGCAACCACGAGAGCCGGCGGGGCCAGATCCACCTTGTTCAGGACCAGCACCAGGGCCAGCCCTAGCTCTCCAGTCACGTACTCGTAAAATGCTGGTGGGAAATTCACAACCTGGAACAGGGATGGTAGGAGGAGGGAGTGATGCGAGGTCAACCCAGAGTTCTCTGCCTCCAGCTCCTCACACAGCAGGCACAGATTGGAGACAAGACCCTGGTGGAAGCAGATTCTGGGGCAACAAGGATAAATCAGCCAAACTGAACTAGGAAGACAAAGCAGGCATAAGTAACACCTATGTGTTTGTCTCTGGGGGGCTTCCTGTAAGGCCTGATTAGGAATGGAAATCAGCTAAAAAGAAGACAAGGAAACAGAGACCCCCAACATACTGGGCTAAACGCTGAGATCACTCACAGGGCTGGGGGTGGGATAGAAATTAATATCTATTTTCACAGGTACACAACTGTCTACATGTGTACACAAACGTGTGTGTGCACGCACACGTGTGCATGTTTGTGTTGAGCACGTGTAGCTGCGTAAGTGAGCTTGTGAATGCACATGTATGTCTGTGAGTATGTAGGAGTGCGTGTGTACGTGTTACGGAGCTCCAACCTAAAGGTCCGCACAGACTCCAGACCTCCCTTTCTCCCACTGGAGGACAACAGTGAAGTGGCACAGCCAGGTCACACAAGGGCTGCCTAGCAGCAGAGTCTAGAGCCTTAACCACTACCCTAGCATCCCAGGTGAGGACGAGTTCTGTAGTGACTAATATGACAGGGAAGCCCCCTTCACAGAATCCCCTGGAGCTCCACACTGGGACTTTCTATTTAGCCCTAGTGGGCTAGGAAACAGGATGTGTATGCAGTTTTCCATCAAAGAAATAAAGGAGAGGAAAGGCAGTTGGCCAGGGGAGGAGTGACAGGCTCTGACACTGATGAATGAAGACTGAGTTCCTGACTGCAGACATCAGGATGGGGTAGAGGAGACTGGAAAAGAAGAGGTTACCTCTCTGACTCCCAACTCCTGCCTCTGCCCTTTACCCAGCAAGAATCTTCCCCCCTCCTGCCCCTTACCCACCCTCATCCCCAGGACTCACTGGATGTCGGATATCAGTAATTAGCAGAACAATGTCAGACATCTCTAATACTCGCCACAGCTGCCTCCACGTCTGAAAAGACAAGGTCAGTGGAAGAGAACCTGAGCCCAGAGTCGCTCTCCTGCATGACCCCAGACCAGTTTGACCACGGGTGACTATGCCCCACTCCTGTCCCCACTCTAGTCTCACCTCCAGATTGTGCTCAAAGTAGCTGAGTTTCTCAGAGGTGTAAGCCCCATGAATCTTCCCAAGATACTCCTGGAAGCTCCGTTCCTCCTGGCTCATCAGTTGCTCCTTGGACATCTCATAGCTCCAAGGAGGACGTCGGGGAAAGTCCAGGACTGAGAAATCAAGAAAAAATCCAAATAAGTCTGAGGATAGTTTCAGGACTCAAGGGTGCATCCATCCCAGACCCCTTCTTCCTCCCGGTCAGCTCTTACTCTTCCAAACTCCTTTCCCCAGCCCACTGCCTGTCCCAAGCATCCAGGCGTTGAGCTCTCACTCACCGGAGCCGGGCTGATAGACCTCCCAGATGTCCAGCACCAGCAGCTCAGCACTGACGGGCTGTAGCACTTGCTCCCGGGCTGCTCTCTTTCTCCTCTCCACCTCCTCCCGGCTGTCTCGTTCAAAATGCAGCCGGTATCTACAGGACAGGGACCACGTCATCCATCACAATCCTTGGCCACAAATTCCCCTCTTGGGCAGGCAACTTCGCAAAGCTTTCACTCCAGAGTTCAGGTCTCCCCTCTGAGTCGGCCCTCTCCCAAATCTTTTTCACGCAACAGCAGGCCTTCCCCTAAGTTTCGCCCTTCTGAAAGCCAAACTCTCTCCAGCCCCTCCAGAAGGGAAGATTGTGGACCGCTCCGGTGACCCAGCGGCCCGCGGAGAACCGTGGTAACCCAGCCCCACCAGTTTCAAGCCTCCCCCAACGGCAGCAGGCTTTCCCCCAACGCTCTGACTTCCGGGTAGGCGGGGAAGCCCGGGCCAGAGCCCCCTGTCCACTCTCACCGATTTGGGTCATAGCCTCGTGGGCCCAGCCCCTGGGAAGGCTGCTGGTTGAGCCTGCGGATTTGTTGGGTCACAGACTCCCCGTCCGAGGTGTCGGTCTGCTCCTCCCGCCGCTCCCGGCTCCCGCTGCGGCTGTTGGAACTGGATCGCAGCCCATCTTGAAGCCCTGCGGGGAGGAGCCGGTGACGCCAGGGCTGGCCAGCTCTCCCGGGCCAGAAGACCCCCCACCCGGTCGGCCTGGCTCCTCCCCACACCACCCCAGTCTTTTGAGGCCGGACCCTCCCACCTACTCTGCTCAGGACCCTCCCGGATGTGCGTGGGGGGAGGCACTTCTCCTCCAGGGATCTACTGGGATGACGCCCCGTTGGAGCTGGAGGGATTCCCCTCCCCCAACACTCCATCCTTCCCCACCCCTTCCAGATGTAGGGGGCTGGGGTGAGGGAATCCCCTCCGCGGTCGCCCACGCGCGTCGGCGCGCGGCCGCCACCCCCTCTCACGCCTCCCAGAGGTGAGACGGGCACACCCCTCCTCCCAGATGTGCGGGAGTCCGAGCCCCGCCCCCTCCCTTGGCTCCCGCACTGACCTCGCTTCCGCTCCCGCTTGTCCTGCAACTGCTTCTTCTTCTGCTTCACGCTGAAAGGCTTCTTCCTCGGCATGGCCCGGACCAGTCACCTGGCCCGCCCTTCGCCGAGCTCCAGCCGCCTCAACTGACTCCCCCCGAGCCAGCCCCCGCCGCAAGGGCCCGGGACACTGGAGGGGGCGGGACTGGAAGGTGACGTCAGCGGGCGGACCAGGCCGATGCGCCCAGGCAGCCCGGGTGGAAGGCAACCAGGGGGAAATACAGTCACTTTCCACTGGGAGCGAGGCGAGAGGATGCGGGGTGGACTACCCGCACGTGAGAGCCAGTGGAGCTGAGAGGGCGCAGCAGCGGCTAGGAAGGAGGCGCGCGTGGGAGGGTCGGGCTAACTTCGTCACGGACGCTACCAAATCGCGTTTGGAGGAGGGGGGACGCGTGTCATCACTACCTTGCGAGCCGGGGAGAAGCTACCACTCACCTGGAGGGGGCGGTGGAGCGGAGGGCGGGTCCTACCACCTGCGGGATAAAGGGGCGTGGACGCGCAGAACCTACTTTACAAATCCTCCGGCTGGACCTTAGAGGAAAGTCGCGACTGCGCGTCCCGGGAAGGAAGCCAAGTTGATGGGCTACACTGGGGACAGGGTGAGAGGTCTTGAGGGGCGAGTGGTGGTCTGGAGAGCCCTGGGCACCGCCCTGCTGGGACCCAAATTCCTCGTGGGAACGATGGTAAGCAGCACCTAAGTGCAAGCGCGCGGCCGAGGAGGGAAACCCAGGTGGAACAAGGATTTTTGGAAGGAGGTCATAGGGCACGAAGTTGTGCCTGCAGCTGTTACCATAGAAACCGGGAACCGGATGTGGCGATCTTAGGGTGCGACAGCCGTGTTTTCTCAGGCCTTCTGGCCCGAGAGCCTGTCGACTCTATGGCACACTATGAGGAGCCGGCTGTAGGGTTTTTTCAGCGAGGGGAGGAGCGAGCAACTTTTTCTACAGCGTTTATAGAAACGCAGCAAAGGAAAGGTTTGAGATTGCTGCCATGCCTGGCAGAGACTGAGGGAGGCGGCTGATGTGAGAACAGCCGCACTAAGTTTCCCCGCAGCCTTACGGAAGTGAAATGGCGGGAGCCTCACCCTCCCTGTCCACTGCCCCCCCCGGAAGCGGAAACAGAATCTCAGCGTGCCCCTTCCTCACTGCCCTCCAAATCCAGCTGCAGCCATTGCGGCAACCACGATGCCGAAACGAAAGAAGCAGAATCATCATCAGCAGCAGCCGCAGCAGCAGCCCCCACTGCCAGAGCGGGAAGAGACTGGAGATGAGGAGGATGGGAGTCCCATCGGTGAGGAACCCGGGAGTTGTGTGCACATGCCTGTCAGCCGGCCGAGGCGAGGGGTTGGGGGCTGAAAAGGTGCGGGGGAGGGGGCTCCAACGGAAGGAGGAAGGGCGCACGCGCTGGGGCTGGGGCTGGGGCTGGGGCTGGGGGAGGCCTGGCTGGGATGGAACACTAAATGAGTTCTCTTACTTGAACCCTCAACTTCAAACCAGCCACTAAACCTTTCTCAAGAAGGCAGGGGAGAAGATAAAGAGCTCGTGTGCGCAGCCGCAAAACGACAGGGGAGAGGGGCCCTAGAGAGGTTGTAGGTTGCGATGACTGGGATGACAATTTGTGACCAGACGTTCACGGGGAATGTGGAAGTGCAGCCTTCTGTAAACTACTCGGAGGTGGGGGGTGGGGGGAGAGCTATCTGATTGGCCAGCAGTGAAAGAGAGGAATTGGATTACCTCTGGAATCCCTTGGGATCTTTTGGATAGCAACAATGTAAGGGAAAGAGAAAGTTTGTAGTATCCTTCCCTCATTATCTCCCTTGACTTGGCTGAGTCTCCACTTTGCAAATCCTGAAAACGCTTTGGAAATAGATGGGGTGAGAACTCATAACACTGCTGAGAACATACCTGGCTTTGCTGGTTAGATTAAGAAATGAGTAATAGAAGACAAACATCTAAGAACAGGATCATCAGTTTTTTAGTCCATTCTGATGACCATATTTTTATGTCTGCCCTTAGGACCACCCAGCCTTCTGGGCCCTCCCCCCATGGCCAATGGAAAGCCTGGTGACCCCAAGTCAGGTGAGGAGGAAGGGGCTCTCATCCTTTGATTAGGTCCTGAGAAGGGAGCAAGGGAGGGACTAAAACCCAGAAAGGACTTAAAAGATCAGGAATTTTGTACTTAAATGAAGGGAGAGATGTTGTGTATTGACAGCCTGGAAAAACTCAATGTTGTAAAAATGTCATTTCTTCCCAAACTGACCTGTAGATTCAGTGCACTCCCAATTATAATCCCTACAGTGTTTTTGTAGAAATAAACATTCTACGTTTTTGTATGGAAACGCAGAGGATCAGGGTGAGAGGTTGCAAAGATAATCTTGAAGTGGAAGGGCTTACTCTGAATATCAAGACTTATTGTAAACTTGTAGTAGTTGTAACAGTGTGGTATTGGCCCAACAATAGATATATAAATCAACAGAACGGCATAAAGAGTCCAGTAATAGGCCCACACATATGTGGCCATTTCATTGATGATGAAGATGGAACTGAAATAGTGGTCTTTTCAGTAAATGATGCTGAATTAATTGGATATTCATGGGTAAAGAAATAATTCTAGAAAACAAATGTATTTCATGGGCTTAAAGTAGATGAGAGCTTTTAAACAGACAAGAAACAGACACACTAACCATAAAGGAAAGATAAACTGAACTATGTTAGAAAATATGAACTTCTGTTAATCAAATCACACCATTAAGAAGTTAGTAGGAAGCCACAGAGTAGAAGATACTTGCAACGAATATAACCAATAAAGAGCTCATATCTTGAATATATAAAAACTCTCTGACAACCTGTTAGAAAAATGGGCAAAAGACCAGAACAGCCACCTGATAAAAACCAATCTCTAAATAGCCAAAAACATGAATAAGAACTCAACATCATTAGTCATCAAATAAATGCAAGATAAAAACACATAAGTTTGAAACTGAGCCCCTTGTGTACTGTTGGTGGGATTGTAAAGTGGTCCAACCACTATGGAAAACATTATGGAGATTCCTCAAAAAATTAAAAATAGAGCTACTGTATGACCCAGCAATTCCACTTTTGGGTATTTACCCAAAAGAATGGAAAGCAGGATCTTGAAGAGGGACTTGCACACCCATGTTCATAGCAGCACTATCCACAGTAGACAAGACATGGAAGCCACCCATATGTCTGTTGATGGATGAATGGATAAAGAAAATGTGGTATAATCATATAATGGAATATGATCCAGCCCCCAAAAGGAAGAAAATCCTGTAACATGCTACAGCACGGATGAACCTTGAGGCCATGCTAAATGAAATGAGCCAGTCACAAAAAAAAACTGCTCTATGTTTCCACTGATCTGAGGTATCTAAAGTAGTTAAATTCATAGAAATGGAAAGTAGAATGGTTGTTGCCAGGGGCTGGGTGGAGGAGGGGAAAAGAGAGTTGTTTAGTAGCTATAAACTTTCAGTTTTGCAAGATGAAAAATTTCTGGAGATCTGTTTCCAACAAGATGAATTTACTTAACACTACAGAGATGTACACTTAGAAGTAGTTAAGATGGCAAAATTTATGTTACATGTTTTAACCACAATTTCAAAACAGAACACCACTTTTCACACTCACCAGAATGGCAAAACTGAAAAAGATCAACATTACCAAGTGTTGTCAAGGAACAACAGGTTGTCTATGGAACAACTGCTGGTGGGGGTGTGAGTTGGTACAACCACTTTGGAAAAAAAAAAGTTTGACTTCCTTAAACTTGAGCATACATATACTTGAGGACCCAGTAATATGTCTACTACGTATACACTCAACAGAAATGAATCCATGTGTGTACCGAAGACATGTATAAAAACGCTCATAGCAGCATTTTTCGTTATAGCCCCACACTGGAATCCACCACAGTAGAATGGCTAAATAAGTTGTATGTGCATACAATGAGATACTACACTGCAATGAAAATGAAGGAACTCCTGCTGCAGGCAACCTGGATGAATCTCATAAACATGATGTTGAGCGAAAGGATCCAGACACAAAAGAATGCAGACTGTATGATTTCATTTATGCAAAGTTCAAAAACAGGCAAAAACTAACCTATGATGCTAGAAGTCAGGATAGTTGTTACTTTTGGGGAGTAGGGTGGGATAGTGGGGGAGGAGGGGCACGAGGGGGTGGGGCTTCTGAAGTGCTAATAAGGCTCTATCCCTTCTCTAGCCTGTGTTAGTGGAAACACAGGTGTGTTTACTTTGGTGATGATTTAGTTGTGCACTTAAAATTGTGTATTTTTTGGTATGTATATTGTACTTCAATAAAAAGTTTTTAAAAAATCAGGGCTTCATTATCTGGATTAAGCTAGCCATTGATCACCTTTCCATGTTTCTCTCTCTCTTGCTCTCTCTCTCTCTCCCTCTCTCCCTCTCTCTCTCTCTCTTCAGCTCTTCACAGAGGTCCTCCGGGATCAAGGGGACCAATGATCCCACCACTGCTGAGTCTCCCACCTCCTCCCCGGGGCAGAGGCCCAATTCGGGGAGGCCTAGGCCCCAGGTCTGGCCCATATGGTCGTGGTTGGTGGGGGGTCAATGCTGAGCCTCCTTTTCCTGGACCAGGCCATGGGGGTCCCTCCAGGGGAGGCTTTCACAAAGAGCAGAGAAATCCTCGAAGGCTCAAAAGCTGGTCTCTTATCAAGAATACCTGCCCACCCAAGGATGGACCCCAGGTTATGGAAGGTGAGGTCCATTTTTTTATGCCTGCACACATTGAACACCCATCACTCCCAAAGTGACCTCATGTCCAGAATGCCCATGGCTCTTCTTCTTTGGGCTGTCCTTTGTCCTTTTGAAGTAGGAGTAGCCCTGAATGTTTTTTCTCCCGGGAGAAAGACTACCATTCCATCATATCTGGAAATGGTAGTGAGTAGGAAATCTCACTGCCTTCTCTATCTCTGCTTTTTGTTACATTTGTTTCTTTCTTACTCGCATTTTAAACTGCCCGGTTTTCGCTTGTTCACAGACAAATCTGACCGCCCCGTCTGCCGACACTTTGCCAAAAAGGGCCACTGTCGATATGAGGACCTCTGTGCCTTCTACCACCCTGGCGTAAATGGACCTCCTCTGTGAGACTGTGCCTTCCCATCCAGACTGGAAGGAGCCCTCTGACTTGGCGGCCATATACTTCCCTGTGGCCCTGTGATGGCTACCGCGAGGCCATTCACCTGCCACCCTCAGTCAGTGATGCCCAGCTCCATCACCACCTCCCCCACTCGGGGTCCAGAGCTGTGTTCCGTGACTGGTGCACGGTGTGCACTCTTCCTTGTGATGCAGCCTCCAGAGACTCGTCTCCGGGACCCCATCTTTGCTCCATTCAACTGCCTCCTGGATCCTCTTCCCCCTCGCCAGCTGACTGCAGAACAGGAAACCTCTTTGGTGCTGTTTCTTGTGCATCTGTCCACCCAGCCCCAGGTAGCGCCCTGGATTCCTGAGAGCCCTGGAGCAGTTTCCTACCATTCCCTTCTCGCTGCTTGTTTTAAGTCCTTTTTATGTGACACCCCCTTCCCCCAGTGTTGTCAGCTGCTCTGTGACACTCACCAGCTTGTCTGACCTGGGGTCAAGTTGGGATGACTGGTGCAGAGTCACTCCTGAGAGGCCACGTTCCCTGCTTTTGGATTTTGTAGTTTCTGCATCAGTAGCATGATCTCCACCGCTATGGTCTGTGATCACTGTGCTTTGTGAGACTGTGCATCCCCTCATAGCCTTTCTCAGTGTCCATGGCATTTTTGTGACTTCCCAACGCTAGAGTGAGTTTTTCTGCCAAAATGCGTGGGGCCGTTGGTGGCCTCTAGACTTTCCCCACCTCCCGACGTGGGAGAACTGTGAAACTTCCACAAGGCTGCCTGCCTGGTCCTCCCCATTCTCCCGGTATCAGTTTCTCTGGGTTTGACACAGGCCCGAGAGATGTCCTCTACCCTATCTCCTCTCCAGCCCGTTTTAGTTAGACTATGTCATTGTGAGGCCACCAGCCCTTTCGTTTGAATTCTGTGAATCTCCACCTGGTCTAACTGTGGGTGGAACTTGGACAGTACTGTCGCCCTCTTCCAACCTTCTTCCCCTGCATCCCTGGCACTGGTTGTTTTCTGTGAAAACGGCAGTGAACAGGTTCAGTTTTGAACTGGCCCTGGGGAAATGGGTCAGGAGTTGTGTGGGCAAGAGGGAGGGATGAGAGCCGTTGGAGAACTGAGAATGAATTTTTTTTTTCTTTCTAACATGTTTTTATATTAGTAATAAATGCAGCGGAAACAAGCATTTTCTTTAATCCCTGTGTTCCAGTCATCTCAGGAGGTGCAGGTGAGGCTATTCTTGGAGTCAGTTTATTCTTCATTTAGTTCATACGCAGTGTTGCTAGAAGTTTCTTCCAGTCTGAGGAAACCAGTGGCGTCCCATTAACCTATGGGAATCAACCCGACCAGGTTGCATTTTGTTCAAGGGTAAAGTTTTGTTTAGAAAAAGGAAAGGCCGGGTATCCATGGAGTAATTTTTAAACATTTTACCTGCATTTATGGTTTGAGGTTTATGGAGTGGTAATGACAAAGCAATCTTTCAACAAATATCTCTAGCGTGCGTGTGGGCCAGGCAATGTACTAGATGCTAGAGAAAATGGAGAGCCGAAATCAATGAATTTAAAATCTACAAGAGGAGACACGTTAGTGAAGAAGTCACCAGTATGCGTGAAGTACCTGTCAGAAGTGCTATGAAGAAGTGAGACGGGGACTTCCCTGGTGGCACAGTGGTTAAGAATCTGCCTGCCAATGCAGGGGACACGGGTTCGAGCTCTGGTCCATGAAGATCCCATATGCTGCAGAGCACCTAAGCCTGTGCGCCACAAATACTGAGCCTGCACTCTAGAGCCCGCGAGCCACAACTACTGAGCCCGCGTGCCACAACTAGCGAGCCTGCGCGCCTAGAGCCTGTGCCCTGAAACAAGAGAAGCCACCACACTGAGAAGCCCCAGCTCGCAGCAACTAGAGAAAGCCTGCGCGCAGCAACAAAGACCCAATGCAGCCAAAGATAAATAAAAAATAAATACATTTATATTAAAAAAAAAAAAGGAGGCGTGGTGGGGGAGCATGTAATAAACGGAGTCTGGGGAGATGGCAGGTGAGACAAGCTCTGAGCACAAGCAGGAGGTGAGGTGGGAGAGCAAAGGTGTCGCTAAGAGGAGATGGGAAGAGTGAGAGGCGAGGAGAAGGAAAAGGAGCTAGACGACTCAGGGCCTTGCAGAACATGAGGATTTGGGTCTTAAGACAGAAGCCTTTGAAGAATTTTAGGCAGGTGGGTATCATAGATTAGATAGGTTTTTCAAAAAGATGACTTCTGTATGGAGCTGGCCAGGCTTGGAAGTGGCATTAGCAAGTTACTTGAGCAGTCCGAGGGAGTTGGTGGTGGTATAGACTTGGGTAGCGGAGTGGAAGAAAAATGAACATTTGGAAATAGACCAAAATGGAAGTATTTTAGGTTTCCCAGGGTCGGGTTGTTCTGGCTCACATAACCAAGTGCTGTTTGAAAAGGTATTAGAAGAAAACAGGCAGAATGCCACTAATTTGCTTTTGGAATGGTTGCATCTTTTAAGACATCCAAGGAGAGATATAAAGTAAGTAGCTGGATATACAGATTTGGTACTCAGATTAAAACTAGAGACATAAATCTGAGTTACTTGCATATAGGTAGTGGTTGAAGCTATGAGCGTGGACACATTCCTTCACTCTAAATATTAAGCACCTATTATGGCCCAGTTATGAGTTTTAAGTTCAGTTGTAACAAACCAAAATTAGTCTTAAAGCAAGATAGAAGTTTATTTCTCTCACAAGTCAAGAAGTGTAGTACAAGGCATGTGTGACAATCATGCCACCATAAGGTCCTCAGGTGTTCAGAACCCCTGCTCCCCGCTAGCTCTCAGCTCCATGATTCTTGGGGCCAGACCCTCCTATTCACAGTCTGCAGTGAAACTCTAGCTCACTTATCCATGCTCCAAGCCTCAGGACGGAGGAAGGGCAGAGGAAATTACCTCCAAGCTAACATACCCTCTTTAACTTACACATCACTGGCCATAACTTAGTCCTGTGGCCAATCCTTGGCCCCAGTGAGGCTTGAAAAGTACTCTTTATTCAGGCAGCCACGTACTAAGCAAACTCTTGGCCCTTCAGCAGGTAAAAACATTAGAGGAGGATGAACATCCTCTACCAGTGCCTCCCTGCTAGAATTTGGACATGAAGTAGAGAATAAGACAGTCAAGTGTCAGTGCCCTCCAGCCAAAGACCACACAGGAACCACCTCTAGTTAAACAAAGTTGGGTTTAGCACCTGCAGAGATCTCACTAAGAGAGGGTTAGGAGTGATTAGGATTTGTGTTTGTGTTAGGGTTTGTGTTGTGATTTGGGGGAAGATTCAAGGAAGTGGGGAATCTAGATTGAGTGCTCCCAGGAAGTGGGAGCAATTCTATCATTTCACATTTTAATACAGTCATCCCTCGGCATCTATGGGAAATTGGTTCCAGGACCCCCTCATGTGCCAAAATCCAAGGATGTTCAAGTCCCTTGTATACGATGGCATAATATCTGCGTGTAAACTGCACACATCCTCTCCTATACTTTGTCATCTCTAGATGACTTATAATACTGAATGCAATGTGAATGCCATGTAAATAGTTATAAATACAATGTAAATGCTATGTAAGTAGTAGCTGGTATGCAGCAAATTTAGATTTGCTTTTCGGAATTTCCTGGAATTTCTTTTTTCCCCTAATATTTTGATACTAGGTTGATTGAATCCGAATATGTGGAACCCACAGATAACAGAGTCTCCTCTCGGGGGAGAAATGAAACATGGCTGAAGCTGTAACTGGCAAAAAAGCAGCCACTACTCATTTTAGCTGAGAGGGACGTGTTCAGAATTTATGGTTTGCATAGTAACCTTGTTTTTGTCTGCACTTACACAAGATTATAGACTCTGTCTTACTTCATCACAGTCACAGATTGGCCTTGTCTGGCATGGGTGTTCTGAGGTTATGTTCAATGTGAGAACACCATGGCCTAGATGTGAGGGCCAGCCCAGCTCTTAAAAACACAAGGGCCGGACTTCCCTGGTGGCGCAGTGGTTGAGAATCTGCCTGCTAATGCAGGGGACACGGGTTCAATCCCTGGTCCGGGAAGATCCCACATGCCGCAGAGCAACTAAGCCCGTGCGCCTAGAGCCCACATGCTCTGCAACAAGGGAAGCCACTGCAATGAGAAGCCCGCACACCGAAACAACGACCCAACACAGCCAAAAGTAAAAACAAATTTATTTAAAAAAAAAAGTCAGGAAGTTCCAATGAATCCAAGAGTCACACACAAAAGAAGAAGTGACCCAAATATTGACTGTGGTGGTGATTTAACCGGTGTGTACATGTCAAAACTTATCAAAGTGTACACTTTGCAGTTTATTGGCTGTCTACTGTATACGCAGTTTATGGTAACTCAATTACACCTCAGAAAAGCTGTTACCAAAAAAGAAAAAAAAAAGGTGAACTGAAGCTCCACCGCACCGTGATTTCTGTTTGTTAGGCTAGATTTCCTCCTCGTTTACACCTCTACTCCTCGGGATTTTGTGACACATCTCAACACTTGACCGACAAGGCCTCTTCCTGAGTCGGTGGACTGCGCCCTACTGCTCCTAACCAGACGTTACGGGGCTGGTACAAGGTTGCATTCAGTTTCTTAAAAAAAGAAAAGAGAAAACATGACTTTACTCTTTTACACTAGTCGGAAATTATGTTCAGTCCTTAGTCACGCGGCGCCCCGGAGTCACTGCGTTGCGGTTCCCCAACCGTCATAAACTTGCTGTCGCGACCCGAGTGGGCGAACCCCCGCCGCAAGCTCTCCCCGGAGATGATGGCGCGGCGCTCGTGGGCCGTCCGGGGGCGGGGTCGACAGCGCAGGCGTAGAGAGCCCGCCTCGTTCCGGGCCCCAAGCTGCCGGAACCGGAAATAGCGCCCGGCGCCGACAAGACTGCAGTAACTGCCATCGCGATGCCGAAGGGACCCAAGCAGCAGCCGCCGGAGCCCGAGTGGATCGGGGACGGAGAGACCACGAGCCCCACAGGTGAGGCTGGTAGGCAGGGAGGGAAGGAGATAGGCAAGAGAAGAAGAGAGAGACGTGTGTGCGTGTCTTAGGAGAGAGTCACGGGGCGCGAGACTGACCGGGCCGTGCGAGGGCTACTGCGCATGCGTTCAGTGGGGCCGGGAAGAGTTTGCCCTGGCAGGAGGGCTTTTGGGGTGCCGGCGAAAGTAGAGGTGCCGGGGTGTCACGCAGGAACTTCAGTAAGACTGGGAAAGAGACGAGGAAGAGCGTATGGTACCGAGGGAGAGATGGGGAGAACTGAGAAAGTCCTGATTTCTTCTCATTTGGACATCTTCCCCACCACACGGTATTCCACATCCGGCACTTACATATTGATATAAGTTGTGCCTCGACCTTCTCTCTCTCTCTCCCTCTCCCTCTCTCTCTCTCTCTCTCTCTCTCTCTCTCTCTCGTGCGCGCGCGCACACAAACACACACACATTCTCACACTCACCCGTGGAAACCATCATCCCACCTGCTTCTTAAGAAAGGATGACTCCTTGCGCTCTTTCGTAAGACACCTTTCTGACTCAGCTGGAGCAAGAGCATAGACACTGGGTGTTGGAATGGAGGATTAAGGTTTACTTAAAAGCAGCGGATGTTTATGGAGCACCTGTTTTTAATTATGCAGTGTAAATGCTGTGCTTTGGGGAGGGGAGAAAAAAATACGAAGACATCCTACCAGGCTTGAAGGTACTTCAAGAGGGAGATAAAAATGAATACAAATAATTATAGTAGGTATACAGTGACTAATTTTACAGGCATTTATTGGATGCCTACTTTGTACCTGGTGCTGTGCAGAAGAACTGGAGGTGTAGGGATGAAAGATAAGCCTTGCCTATCGAGAAGGGGCAAGTCTAGTGGTGGGGACAGAGCATTAATCAGACAGAGGCTGACAGAGTGTGATGAATGTGTTGAGACTAGAAAAGAGAGGGGCAACATCTATCAGATAGGGCGGGAGTGTCAGCAAAGCCTCCCAGGAATATGTGATAGCCGAGTTCGTTCTTGAAGGATCAGTGTGAGTTAGCAAGGGGAAGAACATCCTAAGCAAGCAGAGGGCGCAGTTAGTGCAGAGGTAGAGGTGTCGTTGAGCCTGGCTGGTTCCCAGTATTGTGTGACTAGTGTGATGGGGTTGGAAAGACGTGTGGGAGACAGATAAT